TACGCGTACCTGAATTAATTCCCGTCCTAGTCCGGTTAAAGGCAGGTCATCCACACGCGGGGACTAGTATATTCACAAGGGATAAACCTCTCATAGTCTGGATCTGAGAGATTACTAAGATTTGAACTCAAAACATTTGAATTTATACCTCGTCTCTATTACCCCATCAGTTGGTTCATATTTTTTGTCACGTTTTGTCAGTCTAACATCACTCTATTAATGCCACAATGACTAAAAAAAGAGACTACCAAAACGGGAAAATTTTAAATGTGTAAAAAAAAATCAACAACACCATTATGATAATATCACATAGAAAAAAAAAAACCTTGGACCAATATCTAGTAATTGCATGTTGGTTCTTGATTTCATGCCTGTTGGGCATTCAAAAGAAAAGGTGCTTTTTCCATTAAAAATGAAATGCAAAGCCAATACAGTTTACTTTGTTCAGAAAAAGGACTAGAAGGAAGGAGAGAAAAATTGACCTAGTAAAGAAGCTTTAATCATTTCTAAATATAAAATATACTGATGGCCTCTCCCACCAAATCCATCTTGTAATGGATACCTAAAAAGGGCACTCAAAAAGCAAGCACATATCTAAGGCATCCAATGGAAAAAGGATGAATCTAGCTAGGTTGTGTGTTTAAGAGAGTTGTTTTATGTTCAAGTCATATCATTAAGAGTGGATTTTGAACAAAATGATTAACTTTTTCATAATAACCGACTTAGCACGACTAATGCAATTCTAAAACATTCACATCCTTCATGTGCCTCGCATGCTTAATTCCTTTACACGCTAGATTGTTAATTAGTTGTGAACTGTTCATCGATCGTAACTTATAACTCAAAACTAATCCGAGCTAACATATTTTTATGATGAAGATCTTACCTTAAAAGACTAAACATAGTCTTAACTTAAGCTACAAAGGGTAACTAACTTGTCTGCCGGTACATGGTCATACTTGTATAGATTTGGTGACCTTATGTATTAGTCATTCAAATTTAGTTAACGTTGGATGCAATTCAAGCATGAAAACTTTAAATAATGCCAAATATCCGGGTGATTTAAGTACAAAAATAGAAAAAATTGTTTATTTATATTAGAGGTCACAACCAAGCGTATTGATAGATTTATTTTATTGTAACTTAAACACTAGGGGTGTTTAAAGCATTAAAACAGTCTGTTTATATACAAGAGCAAGACTATCAACAGGATAATATCGAGAATCTCATGAATTAAACTACGTTTTAGCGATATATATTAAATAAGAAATAAATGCAAAAATTCATGGAGAGGGCATCAATTGAGAGAAGAGCATGAGTGTGTGAGAACAAGAACTCATGGGTGTGCTCTCATCTGCACTACAAGTAGTCAAAGGGGACAGAGTTGACAGGGAATGTTTCTGGTCCCAGTCAGTAGAGAAAGCATGAAGCTAACAAGGAGTTGGATTAGATCTCCAACCCAACAAACCCCATTAATATGTTGCATTGCATCAAAACAAAGCTTTTTAAGGACCGAAACAGATGTTCTTTTTATAATAATTTCCATGTTGGCTTGGCTAGGTAGTTGGTTATACTGATTTATTAAGACAAACTCATTTGGTTTTAGCATCATGAGATTACATATAACCCATGATGATCTCTCTGGTTTTTGAGTTACTCAAGTTCAAAAAACTAGACTACTTTGGCACAATGAGGAGTGGTTGGGAAAGATTTAGAATAGAAGAAGCTATTTTTTTTTTGGTGTTGAATGTTGTCTTATTTATTAGAACTAGCAATACACACGTGCAACACGTGAAAAAAATTTAGTTCATTAATTTGTTATTAAATTTATTTGAAATATAAAATTGATGAGTAATAAAATTGAATTATTTTTTGTAAAGGTAAGTGAATAATTAAAATACCAAAAAAAAAGACACTTAATCTTTTAATCTCAAAATTTGATAAATTTCATCCAATTAATGATAAAAATACTCAAAAATATGGTACATATAAAAATATCCAAAAAATGTTGAATTTAATTTATTTATTATTGGATTGATTGTTGGTCTCAATAAATTTTGGAATTTACCATCAATTCAAAAATTAAAAATAATTAGGTCAATATTATAGAAAATTTGAACAAGCTTTCAAAATATAGTTATATGAGAAATAAAAAATTGAATTCATGAGAGGTTGTAATAAAATAAAGAAAAACTAACATAGAAAATTTTAACATAAAAATAAGAATTAATAAACTAACTTCAATTATGCCGTATACTTGATTTGCCACACCAATTTAATAAATTAAAATATAAAAATTAATAAACTAACCTCAATGATTATGCTGAATACTTGACCTGCCACATCAATCTCTTAAAAAGTTGTTTGACATTAAATTAAAAAAAATTAAGTGCCACAGAACATAGAAATTAACATAAACATAGGAATTAATAAATTAAAAAAATAAATTGATAAACTAACCTCAATTATATCGAAAACTGCAATTTCGATTGCATTGAGTTTGCTAAAGAAGAGCATGAGATCATAGGAGTTCAAATAAATGACTATGGCACACTAACTTCTAACTCTAACGTGAATGGAAGAAAAAACTTGTTCGATAATTTTGCTGGAAAGTTTGATCCCATGTGGTATTAGAATTATATATGTATATATATAAAGAATTCAAAATATTTTAGAAGTCTAATAAGTAGGAAAGACAAAAAAATTATATGTATATGTATCACCTAAAAATTATTAATATGTGATATTAGAATTATAGCAGGTTTTGTACAATTGAATAAAAAAGAAAGAATATGTTGTCATAGAGATAAAGTTTATCTATCAAGCCATAAAAAAAAAGTTTATATAACTAATATTTTGATAAACTTTATCTACTAAGTCATAAAGATAAAGTTTATCTATCTAATATTTTGGAAGTCAAGTAGGTGTGAAAAATAGAAAAAATATGTGGGTATAATTGATTTTATGGTAATAATTAAGGGTGAAATAAGAAATCAAAAATTTTTCATACATACTCACATTTATAAGTAGTATAGATTAACAGTAATTTTTTAAAGTGTTGTAATTTATTTTTTGGGTAATTTTATTTTGTCTCATCATTATAAGAAAAATGGGCTTTTAGTTTGACGGTTTTGCTTCGGCCGAATGCTGAAGTAAATATTCATTTTTTTTACTTTGGCAATAAATGAAAAAAATTAAGCAAAATTATTTCATGTTCAGCCCTTTCTCTCTGTTTTAAAACTTTATTTGTATGTTTGACCCATCTCTCTCTCTCTAGTGGGGTGAGCTCGGGGTCAATCGTTCATTACATACAACCATGTATTGAACCTGAAATTATTTAAAAAAACAAAAGAAAAGAAAAGGAGAACATGAAAACTTATACACATGCAAGTAGTGTAGTACAAGAATTTGAAGGCCAAAGGTTTTTAGTCATTACAACAATTGTTTCTATGTTTTTGTTTTTTGGTTTTGAAGAAAGCAAATGTTGTTTCGAAAGGAACATGAACGTGATCTAACAGCACCCCAAAGCCCAAGGGCTTCTTTTAATGTCCATATCCATGTATATGTGCCTATTGTGTATAACAAAAAAAAAAAAAAAAAAAAGGTGCAATGTTTGGGTATTTGGGCTTTGAGGATGTCCAGAAAGGGCTTTTTGTTTGGCCACTGGCCAGCCATGTGATAAAAGCAACTTTCTTCTTGTTTAAAAAGCGACCACGCTCGTTTGGATGCAATCATGCGGTCTACTACTTTCTTATTATTCCCCAACAACACTCCTTTCCATTTTCAATGCTTTGTCTCCCCTCCTCCACCCCTACCCCTCCCTCTCTCTCTCTCAAGCACTAAAATGTTGAAAAAAAGGTTAAATTATTTTCCAACTATATCCCTCTTTATTAGTTAGATATATAGAGACACCCATCCAGATTGACACTTCAATTAATGCTTTAGAGTCCGTTTGTTTAGGAAAATAATACTCGAGAATGCAAGAATTTTTTTTTTTTAAAATTTTACCTACATTTGTTTAACATGAAATGAAAAATGATAGAAAAATAATTTTTCTCATGTTTAGATTTTCTCACATCTAATTAACTTTTTTTTCTTGCAAAAAATATAAGAAAAAACAAGAAAGTTGTATTTAATAACCTAACTTCTCATTTTACTCTTATTTTCTTAAAATATTCAATTAGTTATTAATTTTTAAAAAATACGTACAAATTAGACTAATCATATAATTTAATTTAGAAATTAAGGTTCAAGTCGATCTTTGTTTAGAATTAGGTTAGGAGCCAATTTTTTTTAAAATTTAAATAATAAAAAATATTTTTTTCTTCTTTAGACCGAGTTAAAATAATTAAAGATAAATTAGATAATTAGAAAAAAAAAAATTATAACTTTCCTTTTTTTCAAATGGTGGAATGAGATTGTTTTAAAAAATTTTTAGAAATTTTTCATGTTAATCAAATACATGTATGAAAAAATATTTTTTTTTACTTTATTTTCTATCACTTTTACCTTGTATCATCTTGTTCTTGCTAATCAAATAGAACCTTGATGACTATGCACCCAATGGATTCAAAAACTTTCATGATATTTTAGCTATTTCACGATAAAAAGAAGGGCAGATTAGGGAAAAGGGTTAAAAAAAAATTACCAATATTTTGCATTGGAATAAGGGAGCCCCGCTCGTGCGGACAAGCCAGCCACTCACGCTCCTATAATAATTCGATTAAAAATGATAATGATTATGTTTAATTAAATTATTAGCTAGAAAACAAAAGATTTAATCAAACAACAAAATAAAGCACAAAAGCCACTGGTTTTCGTCAAACCTCACCAAGTTGAATCCCCCAAAAGCGGATTTACTCGCCTACCAAAGCACTTCTCTAACATACCTTTCGAAGACAGTCTTTCCCACCATTCTAGACTCTCTCTCTCTCTCCCTTGTGGGTGGGTATCCATATATATATACATAGATTTGGACACCAAACCCACCACTCTTGAGCCTCATTTATCCTGACTTTCCAAACCCCGGTGCATGTTGCGTTAACACCACCCATAAAGGGAAAAACAATAAGAGTAGAGAAACTGTTTGACAGAGAGACCAAGAGATTGAGAGAGAGATGGCATCGGAGAAGGTGGTAGAGACGATGATAGTAGGGAATTATGTAGAGATGGAAACTGAAGGGAAGCCTGAGGACTTGAAGTCAAAGATTTATGGGTTGTTTTGGCATGGTGGCTCAGCTTATGATGCTTGGTTTAGCTGTGCTTCAAATCAGGTCCATTCATTTCCTTTCATACAATACTATTTATTATCTAAGTTCTAGCTATTCAAAATGTTGATGGTTTGTGGTTTGTTTGTGTGTGTGTTTTTTCAGGTGGCTCAAGTTCTACTCACACTACCATACTCATTTTCTCAGCTGGGGATGCTCTCTGGCATAAGCTTTCAGCTCCTCTATGGTTTGATGGGCAGCTGGACTGCCTATCTCATTAGCATTCTCTATGTAGAGTATCGAACCAGGAAAGAGAGAGAGAAAGTTGATTTCCGGAACCATGTCATTCAGGTTTGCACATTCTAACAAACACCTCACCACCATACACCCCATGAAAATAAGAATTTGTATGGTAAATTTCTTACTCATGCAACCAACCAGTAGGGTCTTTTTCAACCATGACGCGGCAAAATTTGCTTGATCCATACACGATTCATTTTCTACCATACATAGTCAAGTTTATGTGATATATAAGTTGTGTTTAGTTTTCATCACACATAGTTTAATTTACGTTGTATATAAAGTCTTATTTAGTTAGTTCGGATCTAGTATACGAATTGATTCTCATGTGGGTCAGTGGTTTTTGTTTTTTTTGCATTATACTTGTGGCTATAGTGGTTTGAAGTTCTTGATGGTCTTCTTGGGAAACATTGGAGGAACGTGGGTTTGGCATTTAACTGCACATTTCTTCTGTTTGGATCTGTGATTCAACTCATAGCTTGTGCAAGGTATACCCTATACTAATACCTACCTACCAATTTATGTGGCCTTTTCTCTATCTTCAGTCTTATATTTAATGACTTAATAATAATCAGAACAAGTATAATAACCAAACACTGAAAAATTTCCTGCAAATTGGGCATCTTTTCATGCAGCAATATATATTACATTAATGATAATCTGGACAAGAGGACTTGGACTTATATCTTCGGAGCTTGTTGTGCCACCACTGTCTTCATTCCCTCGTTTCACAACTACCGAATCTGGTCCTTTCTGGGGTTGATAATGACCACTTATACAGCTTGGTACCTCACCATTGCCTCTCTCCTCCATGGACAGGTATATATATTATTTCACTTGCCAGTTCATCATCACTAGTAGGTCACATTGGCATCTCATGCAACCGGTCCCACCACCGTACAATATATATATATATATATATTCAAGTTGCGTATGTAAAGGGTAATTCTATATCCACAAAAATTTGTACTGCAATTTTTGAATTAATAACGAGATTTATTGATCTAACGGTTCAAAATTTGTCTTCTTGTGGCCGAATTTTTGGAAATGAAGTTAAAAAATGTTAGTGCGAGCAATACTCAAACTAAATGTATGTAGTTTGGTTTGTCTAAATTGACCTCCAACCGTTAAAATAACCCCAGTTGCACCCCTAATTTTACCTAAAATTCATGTTTTGCAATTTGCTATGACCTGAGACTCAAAATCAAAACACTTCAAAAATTTTCTGCTAATTTGTAGGTGGAAGGAGTTAAGCATTCGGGTCCAACGAGGCTGGTACTATACTTCACGGGAGCCACAAACATTCTCTATACATTTGGGGGACATGCTGTTACTGTGTAAGACAAAGTTCAGATTATGTTGGTGTCTGTTACGCCATTTTACGGAATTTGAGTGGGTAAAACTGTAAAAAAAAATGAATTTTCTTAACTTCATGGTGAAAACGACATGACCTTGGCTTGCTTCGACATGATCTGATCGTCTGGCCATAATCATAAGAATATGCAATGGCCAATCTTTATCACCCGAATCATGACTGTTACACTTTTTATTCCCAAATTACCCTTCTCAGGCGTGGGGGGCAAAAAGTAATACTTTCTTGGAAACCCTTTTTCTACTTTTTCTTTTGTTCAGCGTAGAAAAGCCGGAACTCTTTTCCCAATCACTTTTACTTTTATGTCATGTGAGACTAAGAAGAAGGGTCCAACTTGATGACGGAACCGTGCCCCACACATAGGGCTTGTATGGGTCAGGGCTTGGGCTGGGTTCGCCATCCAAATCCTGCCCTACACTTGTGAATATAGTCATGTTTTTGTATAATAACTCGTGTTTAGTTAAGTTGGTTTCGTGTTAGTGTAATATTTAAGTTCTTTGTTACCCACTCATTAATTAGGAAGGTTTGACAGCAGATACACTTGCTCATTACCTGAATCTATTATAGCTAAACTCATACCCAGTAATTTTATCTCGATTTCTCGTAAAATTCACGAGCCCATGACCGGATGATTGTTGAATGAGGGTTAAAGACAATATATATGAAATTGAGTGGAGTAAAATGTAATTTGGTATGATGGTTCAAATTGTTATTTTTGTTATGGTTTTGGCTTTGTTGTTGGGCAGAGAGATAATGCATGCAATGTGGAAGCCACAAAAGTTCAAGGCCATATACTTACTGGCTACACTGTACGTATTGACATTGACTCTTCCATCAGCAACAGCAGTGTATTGGGCATTCGGGGACCTGCTTCTTAATCACTCCAATGCCTTTGCTCTCCTCCCAAGATCACACTTCAGAGACATGGCTGTCACCTTAATGCTCATCCACCAGGCAATTCTCTCTCTCTCTCTCTCTCACACACACACACACACACACACACACACACACACATATATATATATGTTCATGCGATAAATTACAATAATACCTTGCTGTCTTGACATTTTTATTTTCTTGAAGTTATACTGATTCCTTTGATCAAAGTAACATCCATTAATGGAATGCATAGCTTTACAATCTTAAATGGCATCTATACTTTTCTTTGGGCATATTGTTTATTGAATAAAGAAGTAAAGCTTGGCATTCATACATTTTATTTTCCTAGTATATATTGATAGATTAGATTATCTATCCTATTTCTGTGCATAAAATCTAACAATTTTTTTTACTCTCTCAGTTTTATCTACAAGAATAAAAAATATATTTGAGGGAAAAAAAATTGCATGGTTCAGGTCATTATATTTGATTAATTGAACTAAAGGGTAAATCTATTCCAAGCGACCATATACTCAAAGCTTCAATGTAATCTCAGAAATAAGAGAACATGCGTTGAAACTGTCATGAACCAAAAGGGGTGTTATTGTAATTATTGCATTCATTAACAATTATGCATATGTACAACTCTATAGATATAGATAGCAATGAAAACGGTGTCTACTTAAAGTGACGAGATCTTGTATGACTAAGTTTGCAATGATGATAAATAGTGTATTGTGGTTTGGTGCAGTTTATAACTTTTGGGTTCGCATGCACACCATTGTACTTTGTGTGGGAGAAGGCAATAGGAATGCATGAGTGCAAGAGCTTGTGCAAGAGAGCAGCAGCCAGATTGCCTGTGGTCATTCCAATCTGGTTTTTGGCAATCATCTTCCCTTTCTTTGGCCCCATCAACTCCACCGTTGGATCGCTTCTTGTCAGCTTCACCGTATATATCATCCCCGCCCTTGCTTACATCTTCACCTTCAAATCAGCCGCTGCTCGAGAGGTATTCCATTTTAGCACTTATTATCGCCCCCGGGGGTTTGTTCTTAACACCATTTGTTCAACTTTGCATGAAATCTATATAAAATTAATGAAGACATAATTTTTTCGGTGTATAGTACCAAAGTCATTTCCTACACTGAGTTGTCAATCTTATCTTCACATCTTGGGATGATTGGAATGGTTCTAACCGTGTGATTAAATTTTTTTGATGCAGAACGCGGTGGAGCAACCGCCGAAGTTCCTAGGAAGGTGGGCAGGAGCGTACACGATCAATGTCTGTGTGGTAGTGTGGGTCTTGGTGGTTGGGTTCGGATTTGGTGGGTGGGCAAGCATGACCAATTTCATACACCAGATTGACACATTTGGACTATTCACCAAGTGTTACCAATGTCCTCCACAACTCCCATCATCACCACCACCGCACCTTTTTAACTCCACCACCGCCCCTCCTCTGTCAAACTTCACTCACCCCCACCACCTCCTCCACAAACCTTGATCCATCCACCCCATATTTGTCAACTATTGAGCTTCACCAAGTCCTTACAACACCTACCAACCACCTCAAAAGTCATTATGATCTCTCAAAACCCGTCTTTTGTCTCTCCATTCAACCTTCGCAGACCATAAAGAAAAAGGACAGAAAAAAAAATACAATTCCACTAGCATCGGCAGGTCTTTGGCCATCACAAATTTGCGTCCCTACTAAAACACATGCCCCACTTATTGTCTCGGTCTCTTTTCTAAAATGTTGTTTTAAGTTAGAACTCAGTTATTTGCTTCAAAAATGTAGTAGTAAGTATATGAAAATTTGTACTTCGCCTAACAGAGCTTGTGCTTCCTTAAATCATTTCGGATGTTCTCTCTCTCTCTCTCCCCCCATCCTCCAGTGCACGCGCGCATGAGAGACCACCACTACCTTACATCTAAAGCCTAACCATGACACGTTTAGTGCTTAGCATATCAATTATTCTAAAGACTAAACATTAGCTGTTGCCTTGTATCGTACCACCAATAACAAAATAGGACAATTAACATTAGATCTTTTATCTCCTATAGTATTGACTATTTCTTGGTAAAGAGGTTTCTCAATGAGTCTGGGTGTTCAATCTTTTTGCCACCTCCTTAGGATTCCCTTTGGGGGATGTCTCGTTATCTCTTGTATTCGGAACCCTTTATACTACAGGTTTTGAGGTTGTCGCCTCAAATTCCAATTGTAAGACTGGGAAACTATCGGACTGGTTTAATAAAAAGAAATTCCACGTACAAAAAGTGTTTGTTCTAATCGATTGCTAGCCGCAGACACCAACACTTTTTTTTATAGGACATATAAGCCCAAAAGAATGGTGTTAACTGCAGAAACAGAGAATCTTTGATTTGAATTTTTCTGCAACTCACCCTAAAAATTAAGGGTGGGGGTTCCCACAAATATCCATTCCCACCCCACTTAATTTCTCATTCTCAAACTACTCAGCCCATCCTTTCTACACTCACCCTATTAATAATTAAGCTAACTCTATGCTACATACATGGGATGGACTTGATTACTAATGGGATGAATATAAAAAAAGTAGGGTTAGTAGTTTGATAATAAGAAATTAAATGAGATAGGAATGAAAATTTGTGGGGTGATTGTACTACCCAAAAATTAATCATGGTCTCCTATCCATATTAAGGGGACTAGAGCACACAAAAAAAAAAAAAAAAAGAGGAGCAATGGAGAATCATCCTAGGCCCATCAATTGGAACAGGATGCATTATGGGAAAGAGCTAGCATTCAAGAGCCACATGCTGACTCACAGGTAAAACTTGCTCTTAAAAAAACAACCAATAAAGGTAGAACACCTACGAGACACAGCCAAGCCAACCACCACGTTGCTTTCCGCACCAATTATGATACGAACTATGGGTAAATCTTACCCTGGAAACAAACAAAGAAATGCCTCAGAAAAAAGTTGAACAAATGGATATTAAATTTCCAATAGCCTTTCTACTCCGGTTCTTGAGGTTGAATTATTTCATTTGGTCATGCACCAACCAGTTCCAAAACTTATCAGGAAAAAGGGAAGAAATTGACCTTACCCTTACCCACACCTTTCCAAAAGATAAAGAAAATAAAACATGGCAATGAAAAGGACTACCATTAACCATCAGGCATAAAAAGTCATTTTCGCCATTTGAATCTCAAATCTCTGCCTATGCAAACCAACAAAGCCAACCACAAACAAACAGTGTTTTCCGGTCTCCACAAAATATCTTGACGAGCCTATCAATTCGACACCATAACCACAAAAACAAATAAATTTAGGGAACCAGACCTCATTAATATCCAACCAACATAGATGTATACATACACTTCAATAGACACATGAATCCACATAATGATGACTAATGAGATTCATCCCCTCTTCCCACTCCTTGTTAAACCCACCTTTTGGTAAGACAACTAAACCTAGAACAAGTTCCACTAATACTTTTCTAACCCCCCCCAACCCCCCCCCCCAAAAAAAAAAAAAAAAAAAACCCAAATCAAAAGATAAAACAAAAGCGACACGCACATCACCATAACTTGTTTACCCGGAGGCTGACATTGGTCAGCTTTATATACAAAACCAAATCACCACATAGAGGAATACATGTAATTTCCTCCTTGATTTGAAGAGATCAGTAGTGAGTATGAAAATAATGAGAGACGGAATTAGGGCTCGAGTAACTTCACTTGAACCAAATTTACCAACAAATTTGTTGACCAAATCCACAGATAACTGTGAGTACCAAAGCTAAATGCGATATATAAGCAGATTTGATCAGTAAATCTGACCCTACCACTATTTTTCACAATAAGCAACAAGATATATAGATAGAGTAAGATAGCATTGCTCAAAAACACAAAAATGGTGAACATAGAGAAATGATAACCATCACAGAAACTCAATACTAAATAGAAAGGTGTGACCATATTACAAACCCCAAAATCCTCCACAAAAACAAATCTATCAATATGGTTCACAAGTTCAGCAAAATAAAACAGTAAAAGTACCTTAAAACCTTCCACAAAATAAGCCTATCATATGGTTCAAAGGGTTCAACAAACTAAAAACAGTAAAGTAAAAGCAGAGTAGCAGAGTAAATGTAGAGAGACACATTTACCCTCTTTTCCTGACCCACTTCAGCGGTCAGCTTGGGGGCATTCTCGGGCAAAATGCCCTTCCTCACCACATTTGAAACACCCACTTCCACCACCTCCGCCGCCTCCATACCTTCCTCCACCACCTCCGCCGCCGCCACCATACCTTCCACCACCGCCGCCGCCGCTGCTGCCATACCTTCCGCCTCCACCGCCGCCACCCTGATAGCAGTCTCTTGCCAAATGCCCAGCCTCACCACACTTGTAACAGCCACTTCCTCCACCTCCGCCACCGCCTCCATACCTACCACCACCTCCATACCCTCCGCCACCACCTCCATACCCACGGTCACCGCCTCCATACCCTCCACCACCGCCTCCATACCCACCACCACTTCGTCCTCCTCCGCCGCCACCTCGCCCTCCGCCGCCGCCGCCGCCGCCACCCCGAGTAGTACCCTGAATAGGGGCCTCGTTGGGGCCAGTAACATCAACTGCCTTGGTACGGCCATCACCACCGGTCTCGATCACAAACTCCACCGCTTCACCATCTCCGAGGCTGCGAAAGCCCTCAGATCTGATAGAAGACTGGTGAACGAATAGATCTTCGCTACCATCATCAGGTGTGATGAACCCATAACCCTTCTGGTCATCGAACCACTTCACTGTCCCCTTGATCCTCCCGTTCTCGCTCTCCTCGGCCATTACGATGAAAAACGAACGATCCCCTCCAAACACAAACCCTAGAAAACCCAAACGAGAGAGAGAAAACCCTACTCTCTCTCTAGTTTCACCCTCTAGATCTCTCCTCAGGCTGTGGCCGTTCGGGAATGGGCTATGGCTGCTTTATATATCCAAACCCTAGAAGAGAATAGCGTGCCACGTCCGCAAACTTTTGGCAGGTCTCAAAATTTTGAGCGAATGACACTTTACACCTTAAATATTTTAAAATTTCTTATTTGTCCGATTAAAAATTAATTTTCTCACATTGATACATTGTGTCGAGGGCCACATTGTAGTCGTTTGACGGAAGAGACTAAGGTATAATGCCGCTACCAGAGAAAATTGTTTCATGCTATGCATCCAGACCTATTACACCCGAGTTGCATCTCGGCACACTTGTTATATCTACTAACACTTCATCCTATCAGTTATACTTAATATAAAGTCGTTCAATAATAATTCAAGACAACAAGAAAACAAGAAAAAAATAGTGATCCTTTTGGGAACGCCAAATAGAAGAAGACAAAGAGGTAACCTGAGCCCATGAATTTGACAATAACATTAAACAAAAGTTAGTATGAGGGTTAAATTATAACTATTTTATGATATTAAAGATACAATATGAAAAAATTAATCTTTAAGGATATGAATTAATAATTTTAAAATCTTTTAGGGTACATAGTGCAATTCTCTCCAAAAATTTTGGGGGTTATTTTTGGGAATTGAAGCGACGAGCCGGCTAATATAGATGAAATCCAACGGCCGGGGATGAACTGATGACTTTTCTTGCACCGTTGGATTAGAATGCCTTTGGTGTGTAGGAGAAGGATGGTCAGGTTTTAACCCGAGTGGTTTCTTTTAAATGGCAAGCTGCAGTTATAAAAGAAACCATAAGGGGGTATATTCGTCATAATGAAAATTAATGGGGTTTTTCTCTGTTTTTTTTTTCTTATATGCTCTGACTCTCACTTAAATTTCATATATGATCTACCAAAAAAATAAATAAAAAATGTCTTAAAACAGATATCTTTTTTTTTATTATTTTATAAATTATACACCCAAATTCAACAGTCGCCATAATTTTGAAAATCTTGGTGCGTATAGATCCATCCGATCAACCAACGAGCACTCAAACAAAACTGGCCTATTTTTTGGGCATAGGGACGTCAGAACTGATCCGACTAATCAACTCCTTCTCTTTTAAAAAATCTGTCTCCACAAGATAGAGCAACGCTAAAAAATCGTATAGCTTACGAGTGCTGTTTAACATTTGTCGTCTATTTTTAGGAAATGTTTGAAACAAATAATTTATAATAATTTAATGCCGTATTCTCTGAAGATTTAGGAATAAGAAGGGATCTATTAAGCAAAAGATTTATTCGAGATAAGACCCACTAATCTAATGATTCATATTGAAGTGGTGCATAAAGATATGTGTGTGTAGCATTGTTGACAAGACTATACTAAGATACAAATTCAAAATTATACAATCAATTAATATCAATGATAAGTAGATCCAATTGTGCTTACTAGTAATTTAATTTCGTATTACCGGACTCATTTATATGATCTAATATATAACTAAACGAGATTGGAGTTAATTTTGCTCCGACGAACATATATCCATGTGTGGGAATTAGTTAAAACATATATCCATGAAGATTTTAGTTTTATAATTTTGACTTGCAAGTGATATTAATATCACATTAACAGGATATAATATGAGCACAATAAACATAAAAAACACAATTTTTTCCATTTTATCTTGCCTTGATATCCACTTAAGAAAAAGAATCTTACCCTTTATTGACTATACTGCATTTTTCATTGATAATGTGTTTTCTAGGTTGGAAAAAAGGGGAAAAAAAGAATGATACCTTGAGTCTTGAGAAGAATGATTACTCTTTCACTCCTAGTCTAGATTTTGGGTTAATCTCATTTTGATCTCCACAAGATATTTTAATTTTGAATTTATACTCTCAATTGTATAAATTGGTAACAATGTGGATTTCATCTAAACTGTCATTCAATTTTTTGTCATAAAATAAAAATGTGATTTGCAAGTGCTTCAATTTACGATGGGAAACTAAATGTCAGTTCGAGACATGTTCACATTACTATCAATTTATAATATTATGAGCATAAATTGAGATTTTTAATACTTGAAAGTATAATAAAATAAGATTTATCATAATTTTTTTTCCTGGTTAAAGGACAAACTAGGACATCACAAAATTTCAATATTCAAATCTTTTCACTCTAAAAGGAATCCTACAAAGACTTGGCATAAGATATTGTTCCTTTTAAAAAAAAAATTTCACAACTTTAAAATATGAGTAATGTTATTAAAATCTAATTTATTAATTTAATTTACTGTGATATTTGAATTGATTATAAGATCTATCAAATATTGTAATTTAATTTAGTGTTGATCAAATAATTATTATAAAATATATCATTATATTAATAAATTAAATCAAAATTTTAAATTCAAATAACAATATTTTTTTTGGATCATTGCTTATATATATAATGCAATGATCTTTTCTAATAAGACGATGTGGGTCAAGTTTATGAACAACAAACGTCACCAATCCCCTCGCCTCACTCTTTTTCATGGCCTCTTGACCTGTGGGGTGGCTGGACTCTTGGCTGTCAATTCTGTCCATCATTTCTCTTGTTTTCTCTCCCTTTTAAACTCTCACATGAAAAAAAAGAAAAAATTACTCTAAAATAAATTATTTAATTCTTTTTTTTTAATCAACCAACGTAACATATTCATTCAAGAAGAAGAAACGTAATTACAATCTGAGCGTAAAAAGCCTACAGCTTTGGTAAGGGGCAGCTGATCCAACTCAAAGTTAATGAATTGTTTATAACTGATATTACGACCCAACAAGCAGTCTTATTCTTGGGCCTAAGCTCGTGAGAGAATTTAATAGCAATCTAATAAAATATTTAATATCTTTAATGAAGGCCAAGATCCCTCGTGGGGGAGTATCCTTAACCTTATTGGAGCTTAAGTTGATGAACTCCAGGTTACCGATCTCAATGGAGGCATTTTCCAACTGGCGTGAGAAATCAAGCAGGCAAGCTTGTTGGATTGCTGCCACCTCTGAAAAGACACTTGACACCGTTGGGATAACCTTTGCAGTACCATTTCAAAGTAACCTTGAGGGTGTATTGGTCACGAGGAAAAAAGTGTGTGAGTTGTCTTTTTCATCTCATGTAGTGGCTCCAATTATAGGATGCAAGATAATAGTAGACTATGTATATCCATTGAGAATTTTGGTACCATACCGAACATCAAATGGGGGCTAAAAGCTGAATTTGTCACTGTAAAATGATGCAGAAATTGACACGTGTAAAGCAAAAACAAGACAACTGGATTACAGCCGATTATCACAGGAATGAGTGAGTTATATGAAATATTTATAATATTACATGCTAGATTTACAATAATAATTGGTACAATAACAAAGATAATGATATTCTTATAAAGTGAGTAGAACCAAGTACAATGATAATGGTGTATTTACGACATCAGTAAGAAATATAAAAAATTAATGGGATAGATACTAAAGTAAAAATATATTTACAACAAAAGTGAAAAAATTTATGACTCCACAACAATGAGTGAGTTACAAATATTATGGAATATTTACAATATTAGTTGCAAGATTTACAACAATAATTGGTACAATAACAAAGATAATAGTATTATTACAAAATGAGTGGAACCAAGTACAATGATAATAATGTATTTACGACATCAATAAGAAATGTAAAAAAAGAATGAGATAGGTACAAAAGTAAAGGTATATTTACAACAAAAGTGAAAAAATTTACGACTCATAGTCAATGTAATGGATGATCGATCAATATAATATATAATCGATCAAATAAATGTATGATCGATCATTATGTGGAAAGGTGTTACATAAGAAAATGAAATTTTGGAAAGAAATAAATAAATATATAATTTGATTGATCACAAATATGAATGATCGATCATAGTGGCTCAATAAGGTATTTTTTTCTAAAAAATTGCGATATTAACGATATTACTAGGTAAAAGTACAAAATTAATGGTATAATTACAACAAGATTGAGAAATGTTGAAATTCAGTGGGATTGCGATCGATCAATTATGTATGATGATCGATCATGGAGGTAATGATGGAGAAGTTGAAGGGAAAGTGGTATTGCGATCGATCAATTATGTATGATGATCGATCATGGAGTTACTGATGGAGAAGTTGAAGGGGAAGTGGGATTGCGATCGATCAAGTATGTATAATGATCGATCATGGAGTTACTGATGGAGAAGTTTATTGGGCCAGTGGTATTGCAATCGATCAATTATGTATATTGATCGATCATGGAGTTACTGATGGAGAAGTTGAAGGGGAAGTGGGATTGCGATGGATCAAGTATGTATAATGATCCATCATGGAGTTACTGATGGAGAAGCTTATGGTGCTAGTGGGATTGCGATCGATCAATTACGTATGATGATCGATCATGCCGTTAGTGATGGAGAAGGTTATGGTGGCAGTGGGATTGCGATCGATCAATTATGCATATTGATCAATTATGGCGTTAGTGATGGAGAAGGTTATGGTGGCAGTGGGATGTCGATCGATCAATTATGTATAATGATCAATGAAGGAGTTACTGCTGGAGAAGTTTAAGGAGCAAGTGAGATTGCGATCGATCAAAAATAAATATGATAGATCAAAAGTTGATGTATTTACATAAATGCCCACAAAGAGTAATAAATTTAGGTGTTGTAAGGGGGGTTTTGTAGTAAATAAACATCGACTTACCCAAATAAATCTTCAAATCCCACAAAATTACCCCTAAATTGCTCGCACCTTCCATTCTCATTCAAAATCCCTTCCAAATCTGACAATTCCATTTCAAACCCATTAAAAATCCTACAAAATTCATTGAAAATCCATTCCAAATCCTACACAACCCATTCAAAACCTCTCAATTCCATAAACCCTAAATCGCCCACCACCCCAAATCTTTTTCATCGATTGATCGGGTACACAAACTACTTCACTCGATCAAACTACTTCCATTGTCAATCTTCATTTTCAATCTTCATTCGGAGAAGAGTGAAAATTTGCATTGTGAATGTTCGTTGTGAATCTTTGTTGAAGAATAGTGAAAGAACCACATTTGGAGCTGTGGTGATGTCGGGCAGAGAGGCGAAGAAACGGAAGAAGGTGGTTAGCGAGAGGAGTTTTGGGAATGTCAAACTCTTTGTGGATAAAGATGCTAAGAAGAGGTATGATTCATTCATTGTTAAACATCCTCTGTTAATTAAGCGTGGTGTTTACCTTGTGAGCTAGTAGGGAGGGTGGATTCCCCTGAAATACTTCGGGCTCAGAAATGGGAACCTTTGTGTGATGTGAATGTGGATGATAAAACATATATTGAACTGGTTAAGTTTTTTTATGCAAATTTTCATGAGTACAATGAAATTGAGCTGACATTTAAGACACTGGTTAGGAAGAAATCCACCACTGTTTCGCCTGATCTTATTTCAAATATATTAAAAATTGATAAACCAGACATTCTTGAGAATTCCATTGTCTTTCCATGTTCAAGTAAGGAACGGGCTCCTGAAATGGCGATGGTTATTCAGCATATTTGTATTGAGAGTGTTTCTTGGGAGAATGAGAAAAGCAAAATTTTATTGATCGATCAAACAAATATGCGATCGATCAAATAGTTCCAGACTATCACATTTATATCGCTAATATGGGGGGATTGAACAACCATTCTTCTGCTATACCAACATCTCTACATTGATCTATCGCAAAATATATGATCGATCATAATTTGCAAAATGTTATTGATTGATCCAATTAATAATTGATCGATCGCTTACTTTCTGAACAATTTATACACCAGACCGATCGATCGTGTAAAATATGATAGATCAGTAAGTAGTAGGTGTATTTGATCGATCACAAAATATATATGGATCGATCATATTGTTCCAGATTTAAAAATTCAATCGAAATTACTAAAAGTAGTGGCAATAAATGATCGATCGTTAACATATTTGATCGATCAAATTAGAAGGTGAATTCGATCGATCAATAATATATATTGATCGATCATGTTATTCCACATTCCTAAATAATCCAAAAAAAAAAATACTAGAGAGAAATGATCGATCGTTAACCAAATTGATCGATCCAATTAATAAGTGAATTCCTTTGATCAACAATTTATATTGATCGATCAAGTTATTCAAGATTCGTAAATAATCTAGTGTAATACAAGTGCTGGGAAGCACTGATCGATCCTTAACCAATCTAATCGATCATGTTTTCCAACCTTCGTAAACATTCCATTGCATTTGTAAATATTTCCATAACTGTGGTAAAAAAATCTATTGAAGTTGTAAATATTTCCAGGTTAATGGTAAACAATCCAATGAAATTGTAAATATTCCCATCAAAATGGTAAATGATCCATTGAAGATATATATATTTTTGGATTACTTGTAAATGATCGATCGATCATATTTACTGATTGATCACATATTATTACGTAGAAAAACAAATTCTATGACATTAGTAAATACTCCTCTCCAATAAGTAATTTTATCCACAAAACTGGTATATCTTCTTCCATTAATTTGTAAATTATTTACTAATTAAGTACAACTGTCGTAAATATTATTCACAAATCTAGTCAAAGAGATTATAACTCTCCTAATTATTAATTTCATTATAGTAACAAAACCTTTTATCTAGTAATTATTTATACAAATGTGGTAAACAATCCACCAAAGTTGTAAATATTCCTATAAATGTCGTCAATAATCCATCGCAGTTGTAAATATTTCCATAAATATGGTAGGAATTCCATTGAAGTTGTAAATATTTCTAGAAATTTGGTAAACAATCCATTGAAGTTATAAATAATCCCATAAAGAATTCATTGAGGTAGTAAATATTCCCATCAAAGTGGTAAATAATCCATTGAAGTTGTATAGCTTCTTGGATAAGTTGTAAATTATTCATAAATTAATTAACCACACACCTATGTGCTACGATCGATCAATCATATTTAATGATCGATCATGGCTACTAGAGAATCCATGAAAGTTGTAAATATTCTCACAAATTTTATAAGACATACCATTGAACCTGTAAAAATTCCCATAAACATGGTACATGATCCACTGAAATTGTATATCTCCTTGCAGTAGTTGTAAAATATTCATCAATTAATCATTGTGTTCTGATCGATCGATCACATGTAATGATCGATCATCGACTGGTAAAGAATACATTGAAGTTATAAATATTCCCACAATTTTGCTAAACATACCACTGAAATTGTAAATAGTCCCATAAAAGTGATAAATGATCCATTGAATTTGTAAGCAATCCATTGCACTTGTAAATAGTCTCACAAATTTCATACACAGTGCTTGTAATTATTTCCATAAACAATCCATTAAAATTATAAATATTACCATAAAAGTAGTACATCATCCATTAAAGTTTATATCCCTTGGATTATTTGCAAAAAATTCATGAACTAAGCACAACTTTGTGTTTCGATCGATCAATCATATTTAATGATCGATCATGAACTAGTAAATAATCCATTAAAGTGGTAAATATTCCCACCAATTTGGTAACACATACCATTGATGTTGTAAATGTTCCCATAAACACTCCATTAAAGTTGTAAATATTTTCATTAAGGTGGTAAATGATCTATTGAAGTTGTATATCATCTTAGACTAGTTGTAAAATATTCATAAATTAAGCACCTGATCGATCATACATATTTAATGATTCATCATGAACTACTAAAACATCCAGTGAAGTTGTAAATATTTTCACAAATGTTGTAAACATACCACTGAGATTGTAATTATTCCCACAAAATATGGTAAAGATACCACTCAAGTTGTAAATATTTTCATAAATTTGATAAACAATCCATCAAAGTTGTAAATACTTTCACACCATTAAATTTGTAAATTTTCCCGTAAAGGTGGTAAAGGATCCATTGAAGTTGTATATTATCTTGGACTAGTTGTAAAATGTTCATAAATTGAGCATGCGTTTTCTGATCGATCATGCATATTTATTGATCGATCATGAACTACTACTAAAGCATCTATTGAAGTTGTAAATATGCCCACAACTTTTGTAAACATACCACTGAGGTTGTAATTATTGCCACAAATTTGGCAAAAATACCACTGAACTTGTAAATATTTCCATAACTTTGGTAAACAATCTATCTAAGTTATAAATACTTCCACAAATTTTTTAAACAATCCATTCAAGTTATAAATATTCCTTCAATATAGTAACAAAATTACTAGATATTCCTTCAATATAGTAACAAAATTACTAGTAAGGGAATATTTACAATTTCAGTGGTATATTTATCAAATTTGTGAAAATATTTTCAACTTCAATAGTATGTTTACCAAATTTGTGGAAGTATTTACAACTTCAATGAATTCAAATATTTACAACTTCATGGGGAGATTTGATCGATCGTGGGAGAGTTGATCAATCACAAACTTACTGTTTTTCAAAAAAATTTGGAGAGAGACTACTTCAACCTTACGATAGATCACAAGATCTTAGGATAGATCGCAAATATTTTGGAGATAAAAAATAATAATAATTTTGATATATTCCGAATAATAATTTTGATATATTCTAAAAAATAATAATAATAATTTATCACTTTTATGAGAATATTTATAATTTAAACGAATTCTTTATGGGAATAATTATAACCTCAGTGTTATGTGTTACCAAATTTATTTGTTTAATTGATGTATCAAAAATATGTTTAATAAAAATTTAATTTTAATATATTTTTAATTTATCTAATTTATTTTTAAAATAAATTTAAAATTGAATTTTTATTAAACATATTTTTAAATTGAATTTTAAAAATCGATCAAATTGTTGTTTGATCTATCAAATTCTTGTGATAGATCATAAACATTTATAAAAAATTTTCCACCATTGTTGTAAATTTTTTCCATTATTGTTATAAATTTTTCACTAATATTGTAATTTGTACCACTATTGTGGTAATTTTCCCACTACTCTTATAAATTTTTCATTAATGTTGCAACAGAACAATTATAAAGAGAGACAGAAAGTCCATGATCGATCAAACATATATTTGATCGATCATGGACTAGTAATAATCCATTAAAGTTGTAAAAATTATCACAAATTTGGTAAACATACCACTGAAGTTGTAAATATTCCCACAAATTTAGTAAATATACTATTGAAATTGTAAATATTCCCACAAATTTTGTAATTTTATTCACTACTGTTGTAAAATGTTCATTAATGTTGTAATTTTGTTCATTATAGTCGTAACCGTTCTACTAATGTTTTAATTTTACCCTCAATTGATTTAATGACGGCGAGAGAGAAAGACAGAAAGTCCATGATCGATCACACATATATTTGATCGATCATAGACTAGTAATGAATCAATTTACAATTTTAGTGGTATGTTTACCAAATTTGTGATAATCTTTACAACTTCAATAGATTCATTACTAGTCCATGATCGATCAAATATATGTTTGATCAATCATTGACTTTCTATCTCTCTCTACACGACAAATTTGGTGAGGATATTTACTTAATTTGTGGGAATATTTACAACTTCATTGATATATTTACTAAATTTATGAGAATATTTATAACTTCAGTGGTATGTTTACTAAATTTGTGATAATCTGTACAACTTCAATAAATTCATTACTAGTCCATGATCGATCAAATATATGTTTGATCGATCATGGACTTTTGTTTCTCTCTCTACACCACAAATTTGGTAAGAATATTTATTAAATTTGTGGGAATATTTATAATTTCATTAATATATTTACTAAATTTGTGGGAATATTTACAATTTCAGTGGTATGTTTACCAAATTTGTAGAAATCTTTACAACTTCAATGGATTCATTACTAGTCCATGATCGATCAAATATATGTTTGATCGATCATGGACTTTCTGTCTCTCTTTATGATTGTTCTATTACAACATTAATGAAAAATTTATAAGAGTAGTGAAAAAATTATCACAATGGTTATACAAATTACAATATTAGTGAAAAATTTACAATAATAGTGGAAAAAATTTTATGAATGTTTATGATTTATCACAAGAATTTGATAGATCAAACAATAAATTGATCGATTTTTCAAAATTCAATTTTAAAATATGTTTAATAAAAATTCAATTTTAAATTTATTTTAAAAATAAATTGGATAAATTTAAAAAAAATATTAAAATTGAATTTTTATTAAACATATTTTTGATACATCAATTAAACAAATAAATTTAGTAACACATACCACTGAGGTTGTAATTATTCCCATAAAGAATTCATTCAAATTATAAATATTCTCATAAAAATGGTAAATAAAACTGGTAATTATTATTATCTTTTAGAATATATCAAAATTATTATTCGGAACATATCAAAATTGTTATTATTTTTTATCTCAAAAATATTTGCGATCTATTCTAAGATCTTGTTATCTATTGTAAGGTTGAAGTAATCTCCCCCAAATTTTTTTGAAAAACAGTAAGTTTGTAATCGATCAAATCTCTCCACGATCGATCAAATCTCCCATGCAGTTGTAAATATTTGAATCTATTAAAGTTGTAAAGATTTTCACAAATTTAGTAAGTATACCATTGAAGTTGTAAATTTTCTCATAAATTTGGTAAATATACCATTAAAGTTGTAAATATTCCCACAAATTTTATAATTTTATTCACTACTGTTGTAAATTTTTCACTAATGCTGTAATTTTGTTTATTATAGTCATAAACTTCCCACTAATGTTATAATTTTGCCCTCAATTGATTTAATGATACCTCAAAAATATGTTTTGTCTTGTCATTTCAATGTCTTGTGTTCTCTACTAATCGTTGTAAATATACCATCAATTTAGTAAACATACCATTAATGTTGTAATTTGACATTTTCGATTAGGTACCAAAAATGTCCTTGGATGTACCGTAGCCTTCTCCTTCTATTAATACCATCTGACATGTTATTTCAATGTCTTGTCATGTCTACCAAACCGGTACCAAACATGTTGCTGGTTCACTTTTTGTCAATTTTTTTTTAAAAGATACATTAATCAACGCTTCACTTTTGATCTATAGATCAATGGTAGATATTGAATTTTAGTATGGTACCAAAATTCTCAATGAATGTACCGTAGTTGGTACCTTCTTTTAGCTGCTTTGATCAGATATGCTTTTATGGCCGAGTGGTCAAGCGCTAGTCAACCATTACTTTGGTAGTTCAAAGTGGTAAATTCTAATAGTGTGCTCCAACAAAGAGCTGATGTAACCGGTATAATCCACAACTTGATGGATGATTTAAGTCGGCATTGACTAGAGGTTTGTTATTCTATAAGATAAATATGTTTTTTAGGTCACTTATCTTAAATTTAATTCATGCGCGTAAAGAAGAGGTTTTGTGCGTGAACTCGTTGACTATCGGCCATAGATCCAAATGAGCTCGGTTAGTGGTGGATTTTTGGGTTATCAAAAAAATTACAATTTGTTTGGGTCAGATAATTAGTTATTTATATCAAATCACAAGGGTAATCCAGTGAAGACAAAAATAACCTGTAAACTCAAACATAATTAGTTTGAAATAATTCTTTTGGAGTTAGTCTATGAAAGATTTATCATTTGTGAATTCTTTAATCTTACACGTGGATGATATGCATTTAATTTGAACAAATAAAAAATTAGTTGAGGTGTGTGCAAATTAACTCAAATATCCGTGGTAATAATATTCTAAAAAAAAAATCAAATCACCATAAAATAATTTAGATATTTGATGACCAATCTTAAAATGTACTAAATGATCAGTAACAACCTTGTTATATAATAACACCATTGAATTATAACTTCAATTTCATTTTTAAAATTTTGATATCATATAAAAAAAATTAGTTGTTGGCTGTGCCTTTAGGCACAGAATAATAAAAAATAGTAAACAATAAACATATTTGTACTCATATCCAAAATCAAATCACAAACATAGAGAAGAGATAAATAAATTTAAACATTGGTTGTAGTGGGGTGAGAGGTGGTGGGGCGGTAGTAGTCGTAGTAAGAGACGGTGATGGTTGTGGTAAGTGGCAATGACCATGGTGACGGTGGCGGTGGCGGCGGCGGCGACGATAATGATAGAGATAGTGATGAGGTGGTTTCAAATACTATTTTTTTTAAAGTACTTATGAGAAATAATTTTTAAGGGCCTATTTTTCTTATTAAATTTATGGTGTTAATATTAGTCGTTAGATTAATTTTAAAATAAAATTTAAAGCGATCTGAACCGCGAAAAGTAAAATTTATTTTATTTATCTTTTGAAATTTGAATTGTAAGCTGATTTATTGTATAGTTGATTAAATATTTGAATGTCATAGTTGCACCATTAATTCTGGCAAAGGAGGTTATGCATAAAACAATTAGCGATAATTTTCCACTTGAAGACACTATGTAATATTAAAAATTGAATATTAATTTTATAATATTTACAAGTTAAATAGAAATTTAATTTTTTTAATCACGTAATTTAAAATTGAAATGAATAGAGAGGAAAAATAGGTATGTGTGGATTAATGAAATTGTTTGACATCAAAAAGTGTGTTAATGTGTTGATTGAATTGTTTAACATTGAAAATTGTGTAGAGAAAATAGTGTTTTTGAATGAGAAAAAAAATTGGGATGAATTTTATATTATTAAATCAAAATAGATAAAGATTGAATCAATTTTAATTGTTATTACGTATTTAAAAGTTAAAAATTTAAATTTTCAATTGTAATATTAGAAAAAAAGGCTAATGGGCCGAACATAGTTTGCCAGATATTGACATTGTTTTTTTCGTAAGAAAGAATTGTCTCCGTTGTGTACTTTTTTTTCTTAAAACATAAGTTAATTATATCTAACATTAACTCAATCCACCTATTATTCGTATCAGTGAGTCGTGCATTTTTCGAGTTTATGTCAAAATTTATATAGTAAAGTAATTTACAATTCATATTTCAAAAAATAAACAAAATAATTTTTGTTTTTTGTGGTTCAGATCGTTTTAAAATTTTATTTTAAAGTTAATCTAACGGCTAATATTAACCCCTAAATTTAATAGGAAAAATAGGACCCTAACGGTTGTTTGGAGTGACCTTTTCAAAATACTTCTAAAATTTATTTCTCATAAATATTTTTTAAAAAATAGTGTTTAAAATCGCCCCACCACTACCTCTACCACCACTGTCGTTGCCACCACCACCACCGAAGTTGCCACCATAACCATAACTACCGCCATTGTCGCCATTGTCGCCACCACCACCACCACCTCTATCACCGTCGCCGCCGCAACCATCACGATCATTGCCAACCCACCATAACCATCACCGTCTCCTACCACAACTATTGTCGCCCATCACCTCTCACATTCACTTTAACCGATATTTAAATTCATTTATCTCTTTTTATGTTTGTGATTTAATTTTGGATATAAATATAAATATGTTTATTATTTACTATTTTTTATTACTATGTGTCTATAGACACATACAATAACTAGTATATCCATAATAGATAAAGTACTCCCGTAGATTACTTGTTCATACAGATAATCTACGATTAAGAAAAAATGTGCCGGGTGGATCCTAGTTTTTTTATCCTGGTGAGCTTCTCAGTCCAATAGTCTTATCTATATAAAAGCCCAATAAAAAGCCCAAAATCTGATGTCTTAAAACGCCGACGTTGTAGTATGTGACGTACCAGTGCTTTTTTGGAATGCCGAGCAAGAGGAAGAGGAAGAGAGCGGTGGAGAGAGAGAGACCCACCATACACCCTCGAAACAAGTACTCCGATAACCCACCGGACTTTGGACTCTTGGCATCTCTTTATCCTTCTTTCGAGCCCTTCGTGTTCTTCTCTCGCGATGGTCGACCCAGAATCGACTGGACCGACTTCAAAGCCACCCGAGAACTCACCAGGGTTTTGCTCCTTCACGATCATGGCCTCAACTGGTAATGAGTATCTATGTTATATATATAGCTATATCACTCTGCATGTTTATTCGTCTATTTGTTTTTGTGGGTTGCTTTTCTTTCCTCCCCCCCCCCCCCCCCCCCCCCCCCACAAATTCACTTATACACAATTCATCTATGTAAGCAGTAAAATGGAGTTTTGGGTGAGGGAGTAAGAAAGATAAAGACTTGATCTCATGCTTTATATCTGTAGCTCAACAGAGACACCAAACTTAGTTCCATGAATGTTTATGCTTTTTTTGTGTGTCTATTGATGGTATTTGAAAAATTCAAGAATTTTGATTCTTTTATTCTCTAAACAATTTGTTTGGGACTGCATTGACTTTCCTTGCAGCCAGTTGAATCATTAGTACTTTTTTTTTTCCAGAATCAGTTATAGTCTTATGGTTGCTTGTGTTGTACTTAGCCTTTTGAGAATAGGGGGTGGTTTTGTGTGCTTTGGTTTTGATGTCTTGCTTAATGTACCCTAAATTTGGCAATGTAGGTGGATTCCAGATGGGCAGCTCTGCCCAACGGTGCCCAACAGGTCCAATTACATCCATTGGATTGAAGATCTTCTGGCATCCGACATAATCTCAAACAAATGTGCGGATGGTGGTCTTGTACGGGGTTTTGATATTGGAACTGGGGCCAATTGCATTTACCCTCTTCTTGGTTCATCACTTGGTTGGAGCTTTGTTGGTTCAGGTAGTTTCTTCTATCTATGGAATATGGATTTGTTTATCAAACTTGCTTGGTCACCAAAATTTTCTAATGCTGTTCAAGATTTAATAAGATTTTTTGCTGCTAACTCATTTGCAGATGTTACTGATGTAGCACTAGAGTGGGCTGAGAAAAATGTTAAAAATAATCCACATATTTCTGAATTAATCGAAATCAGAAAGGTTGACACTGAGGAGAGGTCATCTTTTAAGCTAGAGTCACATAGTAGCCAGTCAGTTGATAGGGAAAGCAGTATACATTTAAGTGAAACAAAGGCTGAGGACACAGAGTGTTCGAACTCAACTTTACCTGAACTACGTTCCGGAGTGAATAAGAGTTATTATGGACCACCCATGCTTGTTGGTGTTGTCAAAGAAGGGGAGAGATTCGACTTTTGTATGTGCAATCCTCCATTTTTTGAGACAATGGAGAAAGCAGGATTGAATCCAAAAACTTCTTGTGGTGGAACTCCACAGGAGATGGTTTGTCCTGGTGGAGAGCTGGCTTTTATCAGTTGCATTATCGAGGACAGTGTTGAATTGAAGCAGTCTTTTCGGTAATAATTGATTCCCGCACTCTTGTTTTTATTCATCTTTAATTCCTAAAGATACTCATCTATGGCATGTGTTAATTCGGGTAGGTGGTACACTTCGATGGTGGGAAGAAAATCAAACCTGAAGATTCTTATGTCGAAGCTTCGGGAGGTTGGAGTGACGATAATTAAGACAACTGAATTTGTTCAAGGGCAGACATGCCGCTGGGGGCTTGCTTGGTCTTTCATATCTCCTGCCAAGAAGATAATATCGTCCCATATGGCTCAGAAAAATAACCTGTCTTTCATGCTTGAGGTTTGTATGTCATTTTCTTAGTCTGCATCAATTGTCCAGGTGAATTGATTTTATTGTAAAAGTATATTTCATCCATTCTGATGATAAATATTGTGAAACTGAAAATATGTCAGCCTTTTTTCACATTATGTCCTGTCTCTCATCCCTCCATCGTGCATGTGAGGGATTTTATTTTACAAAGGTTGGAAATTCATAGAGCTGAAACGATGTCAATTAATTGATGAATTTTATGTAAAGCCTTGGGATATTTAATTTTTGAAAGCTTTATTATTATACCATGCAGTCTCTGCAACTATGTTCTGTTTGGTTTGTCTGCCTGGCTTTATCACTCTAGAGAAGTAGAGGGGAGTGAGGATGGGTTAGCACTTCAATTTTCTGACCTTTTTCCAAACTTTTTGGCAACTTTTCAGAGAGAGATTACATACACATGCATATATTTCTGTGGTGGGTGATTATTCTGTTGTCAGAAATCAATTGCATGATATCCTAGATCCACTCACAGGTTTGTTTGCGAACTAAATTAATCAATGCAAACTTCATTCTTTATGTCGTGATTTGTTGTTCCCAAGGATAAGAAATTCAAATGCAAAACACAGGTATGCCGGCTGTCCAAGATACTTGCATATCAATCATTAGAACTAAGAAAACTGTTGAGGATGAACACCCTACTGAATATTCAGGGAATTCCTGTTTAATATGTATGTAGTTAGTTTTCATGATAAACCAGCTATAGGGTAAATAAACATGTAGGAAACTACTGTTTAAATAACAGGTTGCGAAACGATCAACCTTTTTAACTTGAAATTGATTTGCAAAAAAGGCCAACTTTGCATTTTGCACACCACATTTACCAAGTTCCATGCACACCTGACCATCCTTGAACTCTTTTGGCTAAATTCATTTGGAATATTCCTTTAGACTGCCAGAATATCCCTTGTAGGTGACATTGGCCATGGCTATTCATTACTTTGACAATTGTACTCATACTATCTTCAGTTGCACTACTGAAATGATACAAGTCGAGGACCATAATTTTCTGCATTAGGGCCAACCAGATGGCAATTATCATACTATAGAAATTTGTTCTATTCACTCCCCATCCTTATTGATAAATGGCCTAGCTAGCTGCCTGAGTTTCAACAATTTTTGCCCTGCTCATGAACAATCTTGTGGTATAGAGTATAGACATGATCTAAAATTCTTGCTTCTTAACATGAACATGTCAAATCATTTAATCCATATTGAATCATCATTCTTGCAAATGTCTAAAATGTGTGTTGCAGCTTTATTCCAGTCTACTAAGCTTTTTAATCCCAAACCACCTTCGTTGGTTATAGTACATACCATCTTCCAGAAAATATTTGCAGCAGCGTGTTCTAATTCCGGTCCCAGTCAATAAAACTGCTTGTAGAATCTTCTCAATTTGTTCCAAAACCTTCGTAGGTAAAATAAGTGCACTATTCCAATGGACTGGCACGGAGTGCTGGACGGATTGGTTAAGCTGAAGATGACATGCAAATGGTAGAAACTTGATGACCAACTCTTAACCCTTAAAAGAAAGTTCTCTAGAAGTTAGTTGCACTCAACTCCCATCAATCTGGTAGATATAAGCTGCGCTCCGAGGTATGGAACTAGTGAATGATCTTCAGGCATGGCTAGAGTTTTAAGAAAATAAAATTTCTAGCAATCATCCATACTAGGGAAACATAAAGTGGCACGCTTTTGAAGAGTAGCTTTTAAGGTTTGTGCAGTTCAGCAGGTACCACCACATTGGATAAACAAATCATCTATGAAACTTACATGTGAGATATGAAGCTCAGTGCACTTTGGATGATATATAAGTTCTTATTCCTGTATCTTTTCCTAAGCAATTCATTGGATACTTCCAAAATCATGAAGAAAGGTCACTTTCAGGTCAGAGATGTTGAGCTTGAGACATTTTGAATGATATGTAAATTCTGATTCCAAAAACTTTTTCCTAAGCAATTCATTAAATAACAAAGCCCCATTGAGAGCAATGAAAATTTTGGAGTTTGGACACGAGATTTTGTCCAGCCTGTTGTCTCTCTAAATGGTCCAAAATTTCAAACACATGAATGCAGCCTTCAGTTATACAATGCCTATGTTTATGTCTGTTCTTTTGAATCTTTTGTTCGGACCATTGACATATCATTCTGAATTATACTGCCCATCCAGGGTCTTCAGCGCCAATACACTGCCATTCAGGTGTTGCAATCAGTGGAGTCCTTTTTCAGTGCCGTTGGTGCATCTTGTAAATCAAATTCCTCCACATTTAATGTTGAAGTATGCTCAATCACTTCAACATGTGGTTGTGATGTTCTGTGATGTAATTTTTCTATATCCTTACTTGGAACACTCTTTCATGTACATAGGTCACTGTAACAAAAGACCACTTTGATTTAATTATGAAAGGTGAGAGACCAAAAATCAATGAAGCGGGTAGTTGCTGGTATGAAGTAGAGAAATTTAATTATCCAAGAAGTCTGGGCCATCCATCCGATGATTTGTGTTTCCGCATCTTGGTAACTTTTCCTCAGTATTTGACTAGAATATAATGTCTTGCTGCTGCTTAAACATATTTATGATGGTATTTTTATCACTATTTATAGGTCTTCCAACAAATCCCGGGCACACTTTTGGTGAAAGGATCATTGCAGCATAAAGAAAGCCCAGTCTCAGGTAGTCACCTATCTTTCTTGTCGAAGGGTGTGCTTTAATTTAAACAGAGTTAATTTAGCTGTTACAATAGCACTCTAAGTACCTTTAACTGCTATTCTGTAACCATTTTGCTAGAAGCATACTTCTCAACTTGACAAAACAAAGCCTTTGTTCTATTTTCCATTAGAACAACTTTCTTCATTTTGCTCTTTTTATGTGCTCATGTTTTGAATATTTTATCAAAACCTATACTCTATCATAGGCTCACAAACTTGGTATTTATTGTCTTACTGGTGTCATAACGCCTTCTACCTGAGCCATGCTACACCTATGTCGGTTTCATCATTTTATCATCATCACCCCTGTGTCTCATAGGTGATGCCTGCTTCTTTTTGGACTTCATGGGTGATGCGTAGTTCAGCCTCCTCTTTGTGGATATGTAAACAATTTAAGATCACGAGATCAATGGGTGAGGAGTTTTCTAGGCTCAGACCTTGCAAGTTTGTTCTATCTACTACTGTTTCTAGGTTGACAGTTTTCAGTTTGTATTTTCTCGGATTATTAATGGCAACTTCAGCGGTTGCCAACATTAGTCTGCTACATGGGGAAAACTTAGATTAATGTTCTATTGTATCAAAAATTTTCTTACATCAAATTAATAAGCAAAATGTGTATATTTGTGCTGGATAAAAATCAGTGTCTACTTCCAGATGGGTTACTTTTCTGCAACCAAGTCTACCATGCATTCTTAATTTTTATTTACAGGGGTTTTTTTGTTTGCAGGGGCTTTCTCATTGATATTCCAGCAACTAGAAGTAGTTCTGAAAGATAAATTTTGTACTGAGAAGGCATCAGCAGCTGCCTCGTACTCTAATCGTTCACAATAACAGTGTATGATTTGCTGAACTCATACTTGTAAGATTAAAATTTGTACCATATTTTTGGGATATTTACAATGAAAATGTCAGAATTCAACTTGTAGCAGTAGAGTGGCAAGAACGCATAGTATACAATGTTTATTATAAATTTTCATGGTTATGTGATGATTTCTTGTGTCATTAATTGTTAATAACATTAATTGCGGCTGTTGTTTTGTTTTATACGCAATTTCAGCTTAGGCTTTTGGATCACTTGAGGTTGTCTACACGTCTCTTCCTTTTTTTTGTTGTCTGATCATTCTGCTTGCTTGAGGGCCTATTTGTATCCCACGATCTTGTTCCTGTTCCATTCATCCCATACTGCCTGACCACACCCACATTCATGTTTCTTATATCTGACTGGTTGATCCCATAATTTCACTGAGATTTCTGTTGGATATCTCTTACCTAGCCAGGTTTTAGGATAGCAGCTGAAATGACTCTTTTTTCGGAAAATTAAGTAAAAAACTTATAGAAAGAAAATGGTTCCCGCAGTAATATTGAATTACAACAAGTCTAGATACTTACACCCAGTACATAAACATCACATATCTGGCAGACCTCTATAAGTTTTAGTCAAACAAAGTGATCTAGGTACAAGAAATCACACCCGGGGCAGCAACAACAATTCACATTTTCTTACAGGAACAATAGGAAACCAGAAGATGATCTAGATCAGGTAGATCATGCATAGAAGAAGACTGTCAACATTAGATTCAGGCCTTTCCTTCAACCCTTGCATATGTCAACCCAACACAAGCATCAACAAAATCCTCATTGATGAAATCGGTTGAGAAAATCTGCAACCGATCAGCCAAACCCTTAGAGAAGCACTGAGTGATAAAGAGTCTGCCATATCCATGAATCCGACCGGTCACCGGTCTAACGCACAGAACCGGGTTATCAGCTTGTGGCGTTGCCGTGTTCTCCACTCTGTAAAAGAACTTCCGGGATGTCACTGGAGGTTGCTCGCTTAAATGCTTCAAATTGCTGTCAAACTTTGTCGATGGCAGATCAGTATCAATCCAGTTATCCTTCAAATACCCAGAACTCCATAAAGATCCTCCTGCCTTGGGTTGAGGCGATTTTCTCGGCTTCCAAACACAAATAATTCTCTTAGGCAAGAGTTCTGCTACTGTCTTTCCAAATACGTTATCATCTTGGTGGATCAGAAATTCACCAAGTTCTTCCTCCAAATACTTCTCAAACTCCGGAGGGTCTTCGTGTCCAAACTCCGTTCGAATCTCCAGAATTATAATCTCTGACTGAGTTTCAGACAGGAACTTCTTGACATCATTGATAACAACATCAACACTATATGTCGTAAGAATTCCATGGCAGACCCGTCGATCCTCCTGAACACGGATATCAACTACACGGGCGCCTGTTGCAAGCTGATCATAGATGGACAGAGATTGGCACTGTGCGAATGGGCGAGTAATGAATGGAAGTCCAATCTTATTGGTTGCAGAATCATGAGTCCCTGGCCACACTATCTTATTTACGTAAATTTTTCCCGGGTCGAGGCCTGACATCCAATTTTTCCGATCAGAAGGGCGGTAATCGCAACCGGGGAAATCACAGCCACGGCTTTGTTTGAGGTCGCATAGAGTTTTCTTCTCTGTTGAGATTGTTTTGCGTCGTTCAACTTGTTTGGAGAGATGGGCACCCATTGTTAGAACCAGAGAAGAAGAAGAAGAAGAAGAAGAAGAAGAAGAAGAAGAAGAAGAAAAATTCTGAATTGTTCTTCTTCTTCTGGTTTCTTTCTTGTTGCTTGTGTTGTTATTGGTGATATTGTTTGTGCAGGAAAGATTGGGTTTTTAGGTTTTAAATATAAAGCATTTTAACGTCTTCTGTTCATTATGGGGTTAGATAGTGCATCAATTATGATATGAAGTTTACTCTCTCTCCCTCTCCCTCTCAAGATGTTTTGGATAAATTACAATGATATACCTTGACATTCCAAGAATAACACGGCTGCCTCTTAATATTTGGACAATGACACGAAGAATTCTTCCAATGTTTGTAGTAGTCAAGCCTTGTCCGACTCACGTTCCTAACAGCACAATTATCAACCTTATTCGTGTTTAAATTTCTAATTTTATCTTTCATTAGGATAATTATCAACCTTATTCGTACTTAAAGACACGGTGTAACGTAAGTGAGAAGTGATAGATTTAGGAGGGAAAAAAATTCAATGTAAATAGTTTTGATATGGATGTTGGTGATCGTTAACTGAATCTATTTGAGATCGTCGGATCTATTTATTAAAGTCTATCATGTTTTATATTATAGAATATTTTCGTATACACATAGAGATCAAACATTACATGCACATAAATACATAGACTTAGTTTAACCAATTCAACTATCAATCAGCCAATGCATATGGTATAAACCACTAAAACATCAATTGGTATCCCTGTCCCATTTATGAATTACATGGGAGTGTGTGGCCGTATAATAATTTTTATAAATATCAAGGGATGAGGGATGTGTTTGTAATTATCTAAGATTAGACATCTTACCTGTTCTTGTTTAGGTGGGCCGGCTGTTTTGAATTATTGGTGGGACTGTAGATACAATCGATTATGTTATGTATATCTATATCCTTCCTTCGTTGGTCCCCCCGTATAGCTGTCCCTTATTATCCGATCTGCATTTCTTGTATATACATTACGATTAGGATAGCTAGGCTGGTAATTAGTCGTATTTTATTGGATTCATATGTATAAATTGTTGATGGGACACTTCTAGAAGAGTGTTAGATCAGCGATACGTCTTCTCAGCTGTGAGGGACTTCCCTTGCCTCTACCGTGGCCACATGCCCTCGACCCCAAGACCCCTGTTCTGGCCGGTATGTTTCTTGACTCCGAGGCGTGTTCCCTCGGCTCCAAGTATCCCTTGTTGGGGTAAAATTCTATAATTTTACAAATATTAATTAACAATATAATTATAAAACACAATATAACAAGAATTCAATCAAATATATAATACAATAACATGCGATTAGAACAATACAAAAAAAAAAAATAATAAATTAGAAAAAGTTGGCATGTGATATTTGGCAGACGTGTAATCACTGTTCTAAAGCAGTTATGCCTCCCCATGTGAAGGTACTAACGAACATATGCAGCTCTAAGATCCAACCTAAATATGCTCACAACAACACTTCCTTAGGGGTCACGTCCACCGGAAGATTGAAGTGAACTTGATTCGAATCGACGTTGCCCAAAAACATAATTGGAAGATACACGTACAATATATATATAAAAAAATACATACTTAAAAAAATATACTCTCATTATATGACCTCCTTTTATATTTGAGAATGCTAGCCATTAGAGATTTTTAAAGCCCATCATCTATTAACCCCCACCAAATAAAAACATTCAAATGTCAAATTAAAACAAAATATAATTACTCATAAAATTCAATTAAATTCTAAATTAAAAGGGACCCATTAAAACATATAAAATAAATTGAATGAGAAATTTTAAAGCTTTTATTTTTCCAACAATCCTCCACAAGTTTTAAAATTTTGAATATCAATGATAAATATAATTTTATACATATATAAGCATAAAATGAGCATAGAAAAATTAGGGCAACTATAATACTGTGTAATGAGTGTAGGTGTCTTTCGGACTTGAACCTCACTTAGTATTGATAGTCTCTCTTTGAAGGATCATAGTGACCAAAGGCTTGAATTAGACCTTTTGAGCCAGAGTTCAACTATCATACACACAGTACCGATATTGGTTAGGATTCGTGGGTCAGTGCGTTTAACTACCATGCACTTGATCTTGATTCTCATGAGAGTTTCTAAAGAATAGCCCAATTCTTATAGTCGTGGCCTCACGACTACTCTCACTTAGGTGAGTCCTCCAAGGGTACATGTGCACAATACCCTGCAGGAGTGTTCCTGCCTCGGTCTCATTCAAGATAAAATCCCTCCTTACCGTCACACTACATATGCACCTCTATCGTAGGGTTGAGCATGAAAATATCTCATCTTAGGATATTTGTTTAACAACGGTGTTAATGAGTCTCGCAGTATGGATTGTTTCTATCCATTGAACTTTCTTCATGGGGTCTTTAATCACAGAAGTTGGGTTATCTCCCTAGGTGACTCCCTTGTGGGCTTAGGCCCATCCCCCTCGGCAGTTGTTAAGACAATTTTTCTCAAAAACTTGGCTTTCCTCGAAAGTTCAATGATGAAATTAATCATCTTTTATATATTCACGTCTCATGACTTTCCTTGAAAGCTGTATCATTATTCGTTAGCTTTGTTTGAATGAGATTTATAATTTTTTTTTCTTACAAAATGATATCATTCTTCATAGATGAAAATCTTGCTCGAGCGTACACGCCTCCGTTCCTTCTTATTGATATTAATCTAACCTGTCGCAAACATTACTGATAAATGCCACATTAAAATGCATTTGTTTGAGACGATTTAAGGGCCACAAATAAATAATTTAGGTAAGAAACACTTTATATAAGCATCTCAATACAGTGTACCGTTGCAATTTTCAAGACCAATGGACAGATACCGAAACACAACTTATAAGAAAATTTTGATCACATGTGCACCATTATTCCCCCACATTTCAGAGTTTTGACGACAGTAAGTAAAACACATGATTGTCACATAGTTGTAAGGAGATGCAAGCTAAGAATTTTAAAATTAATCATCAGTTAGTAATTTTAAATTTTAAACTCCAGTAACAACCTATTTGACTTCATTCTTAGCTTGATGGATAAGACATGATACTTAGATATTAAGTAGCCAAGGTTTTATATACGTATCTAAGATTAAAAAATGTTGGGCATATTTCACAATCGGCATTAAGTTTATATAATAGAGATTGTATAGGTTTGGGTTTTTGGGAACTCAAACGGCTAAAATGGTCAACTTATGCAGACCCATTTCTAGAAGCAGAAGAAATTTCACTTTGTCAATTAAAAACAAATAGTTAGCCTTCAACCGTTAATTTGATACAATAGTGACGGTTGATTATCTTGAACTTGTTCTTGGTAGGCACTTGGATATAGACTACCGAAACCTGAAATGTATTTTGAATTTTTGATACAAACTATACTATGAAATATTTTCAGTTATATGGAAGTTCTCTTTTTATAGTGAAGGTCTCACCCACTACGGCGAAAAGATCTCCCTACTCTAAATAGTGGTCAAATCCTTTATTAGCTTATGAACTCAATCAATACTTAAAATAGTCCACAAGAGAATAATTGATTATACAAGTGTAACATTTCAAACTTTTAAGTAATATTTTAATAATAACAATAAATAGTGCCAAGGTCTTAGGCCTGTTTCTCGCAAACAAATCAAAATCCCTTAATACCTTTACTAACAACAACCACTTTTGTTTTACACATGAGGTGGCATTAATTGATCAATTACTCACTTAAACAATAAAATATAAAAATTTGATTAAATATATAGAGACTAACGACTGTAGGAGATAGAAACATGGTATGTTAGCATCATAAGCGATAATTACCATCCTTATGCATAAGCATATATGATAGGTATATATGATGAAGTCATGTATTCATCTATGCAATTGTATGTATGTCAAGAATTGGACATCTAAAAATAATTACCAATTACATGGCGGTAGTATTTTAGATATTCATGAAAACTGACAAATAAGTAACATTGATTTTGGTATGAGAGCCCCTCATTGTTTCACCATGAAGGATATCTATATCTATGTAAGTATTAAAGTTGCTTGGAATTCTCGGAACCTACCAGTGTCTCCCATCTCTCATTATACATGTTATAAATTTTTCCATTTAAAGGGGTCAAACATGCATTTATCTAAAGGCAAGTCTGAATTCTGAAGGCTCTCAAATAATAGCTCAAAAAATAATTACACAAACTATAACACTATTATATATGATCTGTTACAAAACACTAAACATAAAATTATGCTTATTTTTTTTTTTCTCAAATCGTAGAATATACTAACGGATCAAGAATGTAAAGAAGGAACTTAAAAATGTGAGAAGCTTGTTTATCTATTCTTCCCTTCCTCATGTTTATCCCAAAGCCGAAATAGAACAAGAGGATATCATGGATGTTGTGACCCAAAGGAAAGTATTCCCTTATGTGACTATAATCTGGAAGCTTCTAATTGGTGTATATCCCAATACTATTTCATTATTATTTTTCCTTATTTCTCCAGTTTTCCAAATCACAATTATTTTATTTTAAAATAATATAAAAAACAGTCCTTAAGACAATTTTAACCCAACAAGAAAATTATTTTTTCAAGGACTATTTCATTCAGAATTGCTTAGCTGCTTTAGATTCTTGGGGTAAAATTCTAACGGACATATGCAACTCCAAGATCCAACCTAAATATGTTCACAGCAGCACTTCCTTAGGGGTCACGTCCATTGGAAAGTTGAAGTGAATTTGACTCGAATCGACGTTGTCCAAAAACATAATTGGAAGATACATGTACAATATATATAAAAAAGAATACATACTAAAAAACATACACTCTCATTATGTGACCTCCTTTTATATTTGAGAATGCTAGCCATTAGAGATTTTTAAAGCCCATCATCTATTAACGCCCACCAAATAAAAGCATTCAAATGTCAAATTAAAACAAAATATAATTACTTATAAAATTCA